TACCACTTCTTTTTTCTGGAATAGATCTTACAAATTGTTGTTATCCCTTCCTTAAATATTTCTTAGAATGCACAAATATATGTGCTCATCTGCATGTTTGCACACATACACAGAATCTGGTGTGGTGCTGTGGGTTAATGCGCCAGACTGCAAAACCATTTGAATTGCAAGCTCACCAGTCACTCCTCAGAAACCCTATACAGGGTCGCGAGGGGTAGGAACCGACTCAACGGCACTTAACAACAACAACAGCAACATATTATACACATCCTGGCCCTTTAACCCGAATAAGTTAGTGTATATTTCTTCAGACTAGGAATATTCTCTTAAATGACTGCAGCATAGCAATTAACTGTATATAAAATTCTACATCAAGGATTTTTCTCTTTCTTCACATTAAAGGTACTATTTCATAACCCCTGACTTACGTAAATTCTGACAAGAAATCCTTTGTCCTTTAATATACAAATTTCCCCCCTCCTTTGACTGTTCTTAGTTGCCCTGGTTCAAACTCACCACAGTTCTCTAGGAGACAAATGATGCTGTTGTTCTGGTAAAGACACTTAGGAGTAGTTTTACTCTGTCCTGTAGGTTTTGGGTGGGTCAGCATCAACTTGATAACTGTTTATTGCTCTTCAAATGAGACAGCTAAATTGAAATATATGAAAGGTAAATAAAGAAGTATTGCTACAAAATGACAAATTTTTATTAAACAAAAATATCCAAACGTGAAGCTATTGTTTCTTGGCATATTCTCCATCTAGGTCTATACAACTATACTTCTCAATATGGTGTTTCCATGCTTCTATACCCTTTCCCCAAAGAATTCTGTGCTCTTTTATTTACATCAAGTTAAAATGGCAGTTTTGGCATACTTGTGGGACTAAAATATTGTTCCTTTTAAAAGTTCTTTGAGTTCTGGGAACAAAAAGAAAGTTTGAAAGGACAAAATAAGGACTGAGGGGTGGATAGGGCAAGGTTTCCTACTGAAATTCTCATAGAATAGCATTTGCTATCCTCAATAACTGATCAGGTGCATTGTCACCTAGGTACAACTTTCCTGGCCTTTTTCTGATCTATGCAGTTTTCAATTTTCTGAAAACTTCCTCCTAATAAGCTCCCATGATCATCTTGTGTCCTTCGAGAAAAATCTATCAAGACTATCCCCTTAGAATAGTCTTGGAATCCAGAAAATAGTCATTATAACCTTCCAGGTTAACTTTTCTGCCTTGTATTTAACAGGGCCAGTGTATCTCCTGAGAAACCAGTTTTAAATGCCCTCTGGATCCTATTGGTCAATCAAAGACTCATTTCCAGCTACAATGAATCCATAAAATCTTCTTCATTAGCTTCAATCTTGCTTAAAATATTGACAGAAACATCAACTCTTGTGGTTCACAGTCCAGTGCTGGTTTTAACTGCCCCCCCCCCAAAGAAAAACAAAAAACTTTTCTTTATGTTTTCCTCATTAAACTGTAATGTTGGATAGGTTGATGATACTATATTTATTGAAATTATTGAAATTACCAATCCTTGCATTAAGGTTACTTATAATTTCCTAGGAAGTCAATATGCTGCCATAAAATGAACCATATATATATGATATATTTTATGGATGGATTTGAGCTCCCACTAATCAAATAATCAGTACCTCTTATATTTGGTCCCATTCAATATCCAAGGACTTCATTCTTCTTGGATCAACTATCAACACTCATGGAAGCAGCAGTCAAGAAATCAAATGCCATATTGTATTAGGAAAATCTGCTGCAGAAGACTCTTTTAAAGTATTGAAGAGCAAAGTTGTCAGCTTGAGGAGGGTGCGCGTGACCCAAGCCATGGTATTTTCAATAACCTTATATGCATGTGAAAGCTGGACAGTGAATAAGGAAGACCATAGAAGAATTGATGCTTTTGAGTTATGGTGTTGGAGGAGAACATTAAAAGCACCATGAGCTGCCAAAAGAACAAACAGATCTGTATTGGAATAAGTATAGCCAGAGTTTTCCCTGGAGGCCAGGATGGCCAAGCTTCGTCTCACATACTTCTAACATATTGTTATGAGGGGCCAGTCTCTGGAGAAGGATATCATGTTTGGTAAGGTGGAAGGTCAGAGAAAAAGAGTAAGACCCCAACCAGATGGATTGGCAAAGTGGCAGCATCGATGGGCTCAAGTGTGGCAATAATTGTGAAGGCCAAGGATAGGGCAGTGTTTCATGCTGTTGTGCATAGGGTTGCTATGAGTCGGTACCAACTTGATGGCACTTAACAACAACAACAACAACATATTTGGTTCCACTCCATACTTACTCACATGAGATGACCATTGAAAAACGGGTGTTATAGTAAACCACAGTGAAGGCATCAGATGGTACCTGGCTATCAAAAAGGATGGCATCAAGATTTTAAAGGATTATCCTAAAACAAGAAGCCATCTAAAGTAACCATTAACTAGTCTGTGCAGAAGAAAGCACACTAATTTAAGTGTGATAAAAATATTTTAAATAAAATCTATGATTAATGGAAGGAATGCATTACAGCTTAAATAGTAAAACATGTGGTTGGTGAAACGTCATGGTTTATAGTGGGAGTCCTAACTCCATTTTGAGTCTTGACATAATTCAGCCTCCATTTGAGTTCTTTATAACCTTTAACCAGCAATGTGGCAGCTTTGTCCACAAGCAGAGTGTGTTTGAAAGTAAAATACAACTACCCTGGCTAGGGTCAATCTTTCACTTAGGGAACTGGCCTGGGCATAGCCTTAATGATATACAGATATATGTCATCTAGAAGTTGGGGTAACAGTGACTATGACTCATGGGTGCATTGTCATGAGTCATATCCTGACCACCATGTAGTCAGGTGACCAAAGTTCAGAATCAGTCCTGAAATGGTGTAAATATCCCAGTCATGGTCCTTTCACGCTTCTACAGCCCCACCTGCAACAGTGATAAACTGATCTGCCACCAACCATGACTTTGTGGCTATTTCCTTCGTTTTCCATCATCTATAATTCACACCATAGCCATGAATTAATTAGACTACATCTTGGCATTATATTGGTAGTTTCGCTTATCCTGGATGATTGTCTTTTGTGTGGTCTTTGACTTAAGACTTAATGAAAGTGTCTCTATAGAAAAAGAAAAAGAAAAAAAAACTTAATTCACCTAAAAACTGTTGTTTTATGTGAAGTAACACTCCTGTAAATTTGTAGCAAAACTTCAATGATTTGGGAAGATGTCTACTTGAGTTTTGCTAAAAATTTGGTACTAACCCTGTCTTCAAAATCATTTTTCCCAATGGCACAAAAAAAGTATCCATTTTTGAAAGTCCACTAAGGAGACTAAGACAAGAGTATTAATGAAAGAACTTTTTTGCAACCATCACAAAGAGTACTTTAAACATGATTTGCTTGGAATAAATCAGTGTACATATGAACTGAAACTCTAGTATATAAATATTTTTATTTATCATCATTTTACAAATATTGGGATAGATTATAGATTACTAATAAATTATAGAAAATTGAGATATACAATCTGATAATTTTTGATATAAATATATCTCTGTGGGAACATAACCACAGTCAAAAGAGTGAACATATCCATCACCCCAAAAGGTTTCTCATGCCCATTTGTAGTTTCTGTTTTTCATCACTGCTGAGGTAGCCACAAATCTGTTTTTTGTCACTATTGATTACTTCACTCTTAGAATTTTATAAAATTAAATCATACAATTGTTGATGTTAGGCTCCATTGACTAAGTTCCAACTCATAGTGACTCTACATACTACAGAAACACTCCCCCATCCGCACAATCCTCATAATCTTTAATATATTTGAGCCCATTATTGCAGCCACTGTGTCAGTCCATCTTGCTGAGGATCTTCTGGTTTTGCTGACTTTCTAATATGATGTCCATCTCCAGGAACTGGTTCCTTCTGATAACATATTCAAAGTAAGCAAGGCAAAGTCTAAAGTTCACTCTGGCTGAACTTCTTTAGGTTACTGTTAAGGAAATACTTTTACTCTTGTACACTTATTTTAACTGGCATAACTAGCCATTAAGTCTTTCCTCCTGGCTTAGACCATCATGGATCCAATATGAAAGTTCTGAATTGGACAGTCCAACTTTAATGAAATTGGAATGAAAGAACTTCCCAAGAGTTTCTTGAAGAAATTTGTGCAGCTGAAACCTAGGATGTGTGTTGGCTGCAAATAGGGCAGATGGACACATGGGTATTCCAACACTCAGAGGACATGTGAAGATATTGAATGGGGCAGGTTCCCAGAGAGTTATGTGGGAGGAGAACCAGGACCCAGAACTTGGCTCACTTGGAGGCTCTCTGACCCTGGTCATGAAACTGATCCAGAACTGAATTGGGTATCGTGGATACAGAGCATCTGTGGAGAGTGAGGACAGATCAGAGGAATGCACAGATCAGAGGAATTCACACAAAACAGCCATTGCAAATATACCAAACTGGTACCACCAGGTGCTTAGAGCTGTGAGACTCAGGCCACCTGATTCCTAATCATACGGTGTCAGGTTCTAGGTCATCTATTGGTGGCATACAGCAAAAAATTCTAATAAGGATGAAAGGTGGACCTGCCATCGCAACTTTTAGCAAGAGAAGTTCCAGGCAGGATTGCCCAAGGGTCTGCAAAGAGACACAGTAACAGCAAGCTGAAAATGTATAGGTGTTTTATGTATAGCTGAGGTTTCACTGACTTCCTAGGTGCCTTGAGGACTGGGAATTTTTGAATAATCTGTAGGTATCAGAGGACAGGCTCTTTCTCTAGATGTTTAGTATGTGACCCTGGGTGATTAGAGCATATATCCAGGAATGTGAGAATTTGTGGCATCAGCCACAAGTCCAAGCAAACAAAACACCCATCAAAGATGCTCCCTCAACAGGAGCCCACACCAGGGCCATCTTGGACTTGGCCACAACTGGCAGGGGACAAAAAAAGATAACAACTTGAGCTCTCTGTTAACCTTCAGCAGAAGGGGAAGAGCTTACCCAGAGCGCGCTGGACCTCCACGTTCCGCAGCGTGTAGATGAGTGGATTCAGGGTGGGACTCAGCACCGTGTACAGCACCCCTGCCACTTTGCTCCTTTCTGGGCTGTAGCTGAAGGCAGGGCTGATGTAGGCACAGAACACAGCCGTGTAGTACACGGAGACTACAATCAGGTGGGAGGAGCAGGTGGAGAAGGCTCGGCGCTTGCCTTCCTTAGAGCGGATGCGCAGGATACTGGCCACGATGTAGCCATATGAAGTCAGCGTTAGCAGGAAGTTGATGAAGCCATAGAAACCGTCAGCTACGAGTGTCATGATGCTGTTGACTCGCGTGGGACTGCAGGAGAGGAGCAGCAGTGGTGGGATCTCGCAGAAGAAGTGTGTGATGAGACAGGGGCCGCAGAAGGTCAATCTTGCCATCAGACCAGTGTGGACAGAGGAGTTAAGAGCACAGACACCCCAAACGCTCACAGCCAGCGCTGCACACAACTGTGGACTCATGATGGTGGTGTAGTGCAGTGGGCGGCAGATGGCCACGTAGCGGTCAAAGGCCATGACTGAAAGCAGCAGCAACTCAGAGGACGCAGACCACACGAGGAAGAAAAGCTGGGTCATGCAGCCCTCATAGGAGATGGTGTTTTCCTGCGTGATGAGACCAGCCAACACCTTAGGAAGGATTGTAGAGGTGCAGATGATATCCATGGTGGCCAGGTTAAACAGGAAGAAGTACATGGGGCTGTGGAGGCCAGCACTGCAGCCAACGATGGTGAGGATGAGAGCATTGCCGGTGAGAGCCACGGTGTAGAGCACCAAGAAGCAGCCAAACAGAGGCAGGCGCAATGCGGGGTGCTCCAAGAACCCCTGCAGGATGAACTCTTTCACCAGCGTTTGGTTGGACTTCATGGTCCCAACAGATTCCATGGCACACAAAGTCTGGCCGTCACTCCAGAAAACCTGCAGGTGTCTAAGAAGGTGTTACATGACACTCGCTTTAGATCATGAGTTCACGGGTGATCAGGAAGGGAAAGGCCTGGATTTGTTTTCCTGATGATAACTCACTTATTTCCTTAATCTTCACTCTCCCCACACTTATGTAAACCACACCTAATGTCTGCCTTTACTTTTCCTTTTGTTTTCCGCAATGACAAATTATATAATCTACATAAGCTAAGTATGTGTTCAGGCACCTGCTTCCTCACTCATCTCCTCTCCCCTCCTCTCCCTGCCCCGTGCCCTACACAGACAAACCCAGTGCCTACAAGTGCCAGACAAACCTGCGCTTCTGACACCTACAGTCACAGCAGCACTGTTCCACTCTGAGCCTTCAGCTGATCCTGCTCATTTCTCTCTGAGCTGAAGTTTTACAGTACACTTTAACATGACCTGGGGCAGTGACTCCCTAACAACCCTGACTCAGATCCACATCTTCAATAGCTGCTGCTTCTTAGCCATTGTAGGGCAGGGGCGTCCTCTGATTCTCCCTTCAATATCCAGGGCGTCTTTTCTAGCCTGTACCCACTGTGGCCCATTACTCCCACCCCATGGATGCAGCTGCCTCTAATTAGATATTTTTCTGACCCATCTCTCCAGGACTTCTCACTTCTTACTTCTGAGCCCCTGATATGAGAACCCCAAGTCCTTCTGCGATTTTCTTCCTTGTTCAGCTACAGTCACTTCCAATTCAACATGTACAAACTTGAATTCAACACTATCTTCTAAAGTACTCCTGGTGTTTATTCCTCAGTTCATGCTGATGAACCACTCCACAACCCTTATCACAGCAAGAGGCTCTAAGGGACAGGTCTTTACTTCTGTGGCTTCTTGCCACATCAAAAAACTCCTGGCCATAACAGGAACCGAAAAGATGCCTGTTACTTACATCTCGTCCAACTGGTCACCAAGTCCTACATGTTTGTTCTCCTTGCAGCCCATGGTACTTTTAATATTCTCCTCCAACACCATAACTGAATGCATCAATTCTTCTACAGTCTTCCTTATACACTGTCCAACTTTTGCATGCATATGAGCTTATTGAAAATACCATGGTTTTTGTCAGGTACACCTTATTCTTCAATTGACATCTTTGCTGTTCAACACTTAAAAGAAATCTTATGCAACAGATTTGCCTAATGCATTGTGTCATTTAATTTCTTCACTGTTGCTTCCATGAGTATTGATGGTTGATCTGAGCATAATGAAATCTTTGTCAACTTCAGTCTTTTCTGCATTTATGTAGATGCTGTTTATTGGTTCAGTGGTTAGGATTTTTGTTTTCTTTACATTGAGATGCGGCCCATACGGAAGACTGTGGCCTTTGATCTTCATCAATAAGTATTTTAAGTCCTCTTCACTTTCATCAAACAAGGTTATATCATCTGCATATCGCCAATTATTAATGAGTCTTTATCCAATCCTGTTGCCACATTTTTCTTCATATAACCCAGCTGGGTAGGGTCCCGCTCTCGGCTCTTCTCCGTTGATGGTCCCAGAGGCCTCCACTCCTATCCTGGAGAATTAATCACTCCCTTCCTTGTTACAAAACTTCTACCTTTGCATTTCCAACCCTCACAGTCCGTCCTGATAAGCATTATTCACTACAGTATCACAAGTTACCCATCTGTATCTCCTTTCATCAGCTCCGCCCAGACAGTGACCATTTATTTTTGTTACAGTGATTCTGTGAATTCCTTCCATCTTCTTTGGATGGTTTCTGCATCATTCAATATTTGTCATAGAATTCTTTGAGGTTTTAATTTTTTATTCAGTTACCTCAGCTTGATAAATGCTGAGTGTGTTCTTCCCTTTTGGTTTTCTAACTCCAGTTCTTTGCACATTTTGTTATATTTGACTTTGTCTTCTTTAGCTGACCTTTGAAAATTTCTAAGCCAAACTTTGAAATTTTCTGTCCAGCTCTTGTACCTCCTCCCTTCTTCCATGTGCTTTAGAATCTCTATGCTGGAAATCAAGTTTCATCCATTTTAGTCTTCTCCTTCTTTCTTGTCTTCTTTATGACATTCATTTTGGTCTTTTCCTTCTCTCTTGTCTTCTTTATGACTTTTTGCTTTTTTCCCTGTATGATATTCTTTATGTCATTCCATAGTTCTTCTGGTCTTTGGTCTTTGGTGTTTAATGCATCAAATCTGTTCTTCAGATGATCTCCAAATTCAGGTGGTACATATTCAAGGTCATATTTTGACTCTTGTAGACTTGTTTTAATTTTCTTCAGCATCAGTCTGAATTTACATATGAGCAATTGATGGTCTTTTCCACAGTCTGGCCCTGGCCTTGTTTTGGCTGATGATATTAAACTTCTCCACCATCTCTTTTCAATGATGTAGCCAATTGGATTTCTGTGTGTTCCATCTGGTGACATCCATGTGTACAACCATCTTTTATACTGTTTTTAAAAAGGTGTTTGTAATTAAAAAGTTATTAATATTGCAAACTTCTTTCATGCTATCTCCAGCATCGTTCTGTCACCAAGGCCATATTTACCAACTGCTGATCCTTCAACTTTGTTTCCAATTTTTGCAATCCAATCACCAGTAATTATCAATACATCTTAATTGCATGTTTGATACTTCTTCATACTGAAGAAGTTGGTAGAATTCATCATCATAGACTTTATTGATTGGTGCATAAATTTGAATAATAGTGATATTAACTGGTTTTCCTTGTGCATGTATGGATATTTTCCTAATATAGACAGGATTGTACTTCCTAAATGAGCTTGATATGTTCTTTTTGATGATGAATACAACACCATTCCTCTTCAATTTGTCATTTCTGGCATAGTAAACCATATGATTTTCAGATTCAAAATGGCCAATATTAGTCCATTTCAACTCACTAGTGCTTAGGATATCAATGTTTATATATTACATTTTATTTCTGATAATTTCCAATTTTCCCAGATTCATACTTTGTACATGCAGTGGTCCTATTATTAATGGATGTTTACAGTTGTTTCATTTCATTTTTGAGTTGTGCCCCATCAGAAATATGAAGGTGCTGTGGGCCTTACTCCATTTGTGTCATCATGGTCAAATGTACTTTGATGAGGCAGTTCTTTTTCAGCTGTATTTTAAGTCTCTTCCAACCGGAGGGGCTCATGTTCCTGCGCTATATCTGGCAATATTCTGGTGCTCTTCATTATGTTTCAAAATTCAATAATCTGGTGCTGACAGTGTTACACTTCTATTCATATGGTTTTCAGTTAATGAAATATTCAGAAATAGTCCATATCGCCCTCTTCCTAGTATGGTTTCATCTGGAAGCTCAGCTGAAACTTGTCCACTGTGGATGACACTGCTGGTGTTTAAAATACCTGGGGCATAGCTTCCAGAATCACAGCAACACATAAGCCACCACAGTACGACAAACTGACAGACAAGTGGTGGCCCATCTCTCATACCCTCAACTATTTATTTATTTCAGGTTTATTTAATTGCTTCCTGGATATTCATTTCTTATGCCAAATAATCCTATATGTTCTCCACTGAGGCTAGATTCCTGATCCTGGAATTTCCCTCCTTAAAACTGAACAGATCACCAAAGGGGGAATGAACCATAATTATGGAGATTTCTGTTTGTCTTTCTACCAAAATGAACTTCAGTGCCAGTATAACATGTGTTTCAAAAACTCAAGCAGAAATTTAGAGTTATAGAGGACTTTTGTTGTTGTTGTTGTTAAGTGCCGTTGAGTCGGTTCCGACCCATAGCGACCCTGTACAGGGTTTCCGAGGGTGTAAATCCTTACGGGAGT